GAAAGAGGAAGATGCTTTTATAGGACTCTGTAAGAAGTCGCCAGTGAGGGAGGAGAACAAAGAGAGTGGAACCCCTTATTTCAAGAAAGAGAGAGTAGATAAGATGTGTCAAATGTTGTTGACAAACAGAATAGACATGAATTGAGAAGTGACTCTGAGGATGACTTGTGCTCCTCTCTTCCCTTTTATTCTGGGAACAACATTTTCAGAGACTCGGCCAAACTCTTTAACCTCAGCACTTATCACAGACCTGATGCACAATAGGTGCCATGGAAATATGCATGGGATAGGTGAGTGAATAAAAGAGTACCAGGCAGCAGTGAGCATTTGAATGAGCCACAAACGGGAAGCTAATCTGCCTTTTGGTCTTGGCTGTATGACTACTTTGTCCCTTCTGTCCCTGGCTTTAGCATCTCTGAAGGAATTGTCCTCAGAATGCTTTCAACCAGGATCCAAGAAACTCCTTGGATCTTGTTTTTCTATAAAAGTTTTGGGTTGGTTGCTCAACTTGTAGGTGAAGAGAAAAGAGGTCCAGAAGTATATCATGATTGACGTCAGCCTTTTTTTTTTTTTTTTAATTTTTTTTTCAACGTTTATTTATTTTTGGGACAGAGAGAGACAGAGCATGAACGGGGGAGGGGCAGAGAGAGAGGGAGACACAGAATCGGAAACAGGCTCCAGGCTCTGAGCCATCAGCCCAGAGCCTGACGCGGGGCTCGAACTCATGGACCGCGAGATCGTGACCTGGCTGAAGTCGGACGCTTAACCAACTGCGCCACCCAGGCGCCCCGACGTCAGCCTTTTTACATCATCATTTTTTTACTCTGAAAGCTTTCTTCCTTGGGTGTCCCACTTTCCATCTAGGACCCTACCCATTTCCCTTCCCTTTGCCAGTTACATGGTGTGCTGTCTTTCTTGCCCAGCCTAGTCCTGCCCTCACACTTACTCAGTTTCCCCTGTGTAACCCTGCAGCAGCCATTGCAAACCTTCTGGTCTCCAGTCTGCATCTTCTGTTGCCTGATGCCTCTGAAGATGAAACCTCTTTCATTTCACTGAGAATGTAAGAATTCTCACATGACTGAGCCCCTTCGGGTGTTTCTCACAATATCCCCATCCCCATCTAACCTGTCTGTCTGTCACCTCCTTCCTTCCTAGTCTATTCATTATTGGCCCCTCCCTCTATGTTCTTCGTAAGTCTCCCCTTACTCCTCTGGTACCTGGAGCCACCCATTATATCCATCTTTCATGAGCTCCAGCCTTAAATGGAATTGGTCACATGCACAGATACTTTCATTATCTGTTGAATTGTTCTTCAAAAACTTTATACCTGCTTTTTAAAAAATCTCCTTTTAGTAAAAGAATAACAGGAGCAACACAGAGAACCTCTATCTGTCTCCTTTCTCTCTCAGTCAAGCTTATGGAAAGAGTTAGCTATATTCATATCTTTTCTTTCTCACCTCCTACTACTTACTTATGAAACCCTGCAAAACACGCTGTTTTTTACCACCACTCCCAGAGGCTGCTCTTTTTTTTTTCTTAGAAAATTTAAGTATAGTTGACACATAATGTCGCATTAGTTTCAGGTGTACAACATACTGAATCAACTTCTCTGTCATGCTGTGCTCACCACAAGTGTAGCTACAATATGTCACCTTGCAACACGATTACAATATCATTGACTATATTCTCCACACTGTACCTTTATTTATCCTTGTTATGCATTAATTCCATAAGTGGAAGCCTGTATTTTCCACTCCCTTTCACCTGTTTTTCCCATCTCCCCACCAACAAACAAAAAGTAGAATCAAACCTATAAATACAGAGAATAATCTAATGACTGCCAGAGGAGAGGGAGGCGGAAGGTTGGAGGCTGCTCTTGCTTGAGGCAGTAGACAAAGGCCCCACAGGCAATCCTGCTCTTCTTGATGCAAGGGTGGGCTCCTGAAGCCTCCTCCCTTCCTGAAAATCTCCCTTCTTTGGGGCTTGTCCTCAGTCACTCCCACTCTTTCAGCTCCTTGGGTTACCTTTCACCTTTACAGGTCCTCAGAACTCCCCTCCACTTCCTTCTATGCTCTCATCCCCTTGGAGAGCTTTAACTCCCAGCAAACCCTGATAGTGTCCATGTCTTCCCTCCAGTCCAGAGCCTGGTGAGGATTGGGCCAGTCAGAGTCTGATGCAGCAGGTCTAGAGAGCAATAGTGAAGACTTGAGACCAGGCCAGTGCCTTGGGAATGGAAGACAGTGGATGGACAGATTGTTGACACTTTGGGGGTTCATTTGACTGAGGATAGAGACTCTCTTGATGTGATGATGGAAGGAAACAAAGAGTTATGGTTGACATCCAAGTTTCTGGTTTGGATGACTGGGTAGAAGGCAGGCCCCTTTATGAGATGGGTAACCTGGAGAAACCAATTTGTAGGCAAAGGTGTCAAGTTTAGTTTCAGCTATGTTGCATTTAATGTGCCTCAAAGGAGATTTCTACCAGGCAGCTGGTGATATGGGTGGGTAGCTTTGGAGAGACGCCTGGGTTCTGATCTTGCTTTGGGACATGATGGTAAATGAAGCCTTAGGACTAGATGAAATTTTTGGAGAGTGTGAGGATGAGAACCAGTGGCCTAGCTGCCTACAGGGTAAGGGGATTGCTGCCTGCCTTTATTCCCTGCCAAGCAGCCTGAAAGGGTGGTTCTGATGAATAAAAGTGTGTGTGGCAGGGCAGCTGCTGGGCAACCAGACTGAAGGAAGGCTCTGTTCCCAGCAGAGAAGGAATAGAAATCATGGGATAGGAATCTGTCTTGGTGCTAGGACCTTAGAGAGGGCATAAATTTTATGTGCCCCCAGAGCTGTCCCTTTTGTGGGCTGAGAGCCACTGCTATTAGGGATGATTAGTAAGTGAGGAAGAGGTCCAACTGTGACCATCTAGTGCAGTACCTGCACTAGATGTTTATCAGTGAGAGGCTGTCCTTAGTCCTCTGCTTGGTGTTTGCAGCCTCCCTGGGCTGGCTTGACCTCCTCTGCTCACTCTCCACTCTGGGTCTAGCCCCCTCACACCAGTGTACTTTCCATCCTTGCAATGGATTTGCCCTTTACTGCCCCACCTGTACCCCTGCTGTTCATTCACTAAACAGTGCTCTACCGAGGCCCACTCTGATCAGTGTGAATGGCATCAACTTTGTTTGCATTGCCTGGAACTTTCTGTCTCCATGGTCTGCTGCCTCTAGGGTCTAAGCAGGGACTCAGAGATGCTGCTTCCTATTCCTCAGGTGCCCTCATTAGCATCCCAGTGCAGTAGTCCCACAGAGAGCACCAGGGGAGCAGCTTTGAGGCTGCTTGTTATTACCACTCACCATGGAGCTTGATGTACCTGCCATCACCATGGTGACGGCTTCAGACGCTGGAACAGGTGGATGGGGAGGGGGAGATGAAAAGGTGGGGAGTGGCAGGGTTTCAGCAGTAGGGGCCATAGGTAACCTGGGGAGTGTGCTGACCATTTATGATCAAAATCTGGTGGGGCATGCCGACCAGCCTGAGCAGAGAAGAGCTGCCCTGAGTCTCTCTTGCCCCAACCCACCTGACCCCATGCCAGGAAATACTGCAGAATACAGTCTCCTGTCTCTCTTCTGGATTTTCCCTCTCAGGCTCCTTGTTCTTAGTCTATTTTGTGGACACCTCCTCCTCTACTCATATCTTAAATGTTAGGGTTCTCCAGAGCTCTGAACTGGTCCCTCACTCTGTATTCTCTTTTTGTGTGATTCCACCCACTTGCTCTCCCATCCATCTCTGAGTCCTGCCTTTTCTCCCTCCTGAGTAGTTTTACACTCTACTCACCTCAGGCTCTCTTGGCACCATCTTCTTCAGCTTTCTCCCTACCACCTTGCCTTCAGTCTTGTTCCCCATTTAATCCAGTCTCTACCTAGCAGCCAGAGGATATTTCTAGAATATAATGCTGCTCTACCTATGCTACTTCTCAGCTCTTCCAAGGCTCCCTGTAGCCCAAAGGAGAGAGTCCTGCCTGGTACCACTGCCTATGGAGTCCATGGAGCTCATGGAGCCTATGGGAGCTCTCCCTTCTCTCCTCTTCATTCCCTGCTCGACACACAGAGCTCCTCTTTGTTTCTCAGCTTGTGCGACATTACTTGGAATGTGTGCTAGAAAGAATATAACTGGAGCTGAAAGGAGGATCCCCAGAGACAGTACCCCTGGTTGAAAAAGTCAATGAAAAATGGACTCCCACCTGAGGAGCATGAGTTTTAACGTGGTCTTGGGTCAGGAGAGTCAGAGAGCCAGGGGAGGTGGCAGCTGTTTTGGGCCAAGGAGATACATCTCATTCCATGGGGCGGGAGTTTTGGGGCAGTGGCTGGTTTGGAGGTGCTCAGCAGTGTAAGCATGCGCAAGACATCTGCAAAGCCAAAGCACCAGAAGATGTCTTAGACAGTTTTTATCTATTTTTTTGTTTATTTTATTTTATTTTATTTTGAGAGAGAGAAAGGGGAAGAGGATAGAGAGAGAGAGAGAGAGAGAGAGAGAGAGAGAGAGAGAGAAGGAAAGAGAATCCCAAACAGGCTCCATGCTGTCAGCACTGAGCCAGACATGGGGCTCAATATCACGAACCGTGACATCATGACTTAAGCCAAAATCAAGGGTTGGATGCTTAACTGACTGGGCCACTCAGGCGCCGCTGTTTTGTTCCATTTTAGCATTAATAGTCAATTTATCAAAAAATTCACTGCAGTAAAAGAAAAATAAACACATTTTGCAATTTACTCCTGTTTCCTTTTAAATTACCGGGCATGGTGGGGACAGAACCATCACCTTTTGGTGTTTAGAGCCTGGTACTTAGGCAGTGCTGGATCCCCCTGTCCTGCATTGCCATAGCAGTACCCAGGAATGCTGAGGTTTGCCAGGTGAGCCCTGGTTCTGTTCTCACTGCTCACCTGCAACTCTTCTACTTTATATGGTATCTAAGATTGTCTGTGAGCTTCCTCTTGGCCATCTCTCTAGCAGGTGAGGATATCAGTCATACATGGAGGATGACAGAAAAATCCAATGGTGTGAAGAGTTCCCCAGCCAATAACCACAACTTCCATGCACCTCCTGCCATCAAGGCCAATGGCAAAGATGACAACAGGACAAACAGCAGGTGAATCTATTGGATTGGATGGTTTCAGAGATGACCTGGAGGCTTCTCCTTTCTCCCAGCTTTGCCTTATTGCCACAGAGCAAACAATGTTTGGCTTAAAGTTACCCTCTAAAGGGACCATGGGATTTCTAAGCACCTTCCAGGAGATAAAAGTATAATAGGAGACAAAGTATGCCCAGAGAAACCTTGGTCAACTCTGCTCCTTCCTCTACAGGCCACAATCTACAGCCGATGATGACACCTCCTCAGAACTGCAGAGGCTGGCGGAGATGGATGCCCCCCAGCGGGGGAGGGGTGGCTTCCGCAGGTGGGTTCCACCACTGCCCTCCTGCTACCTGTTCTTGCCCATGGGGCCTATCAGAGTGGTTACCATGAGTCTCTTTGTCTCACTCCAACTGAGCCTTTCTGCCAAGATCCCTAGGAAGCAGTTTTTTTCTGAAGAGGCTCCTGTGAGCAAGCTAGAAGTGGTCAGTGGATCATTCCCTTTAGAATTGTCTGTCTGCTCATTGAGAGGGGGGGGGGGGGAATCTTTTCCAGCAAAAGGGTCTAAGTAGAGGACCTTGAGATCTGCAGCCCAGAGTCATAAGGCTCCATAGGGAAATCAAGAAACTTAGACCAATCTTCCTCCTGGCCTGTCCTCCATTAGCACAATCTTTATCTTGCTCGAAACCACCTATTTGTTCTTCATAAGCAACTGACATGGCACCTCCTACAGGGAGTCTTCTCAGAGCTATCCCTTACCCCTCAGGCTGCATTCAGAGACATACCTGAACTTCTCTCTGCCCTCAGTGCTGGCCCCCTTCCCAACTCTTAGCATGGGGGACATCATAGACTGGCCTGTTTCCAGGGTCTCCTCTCCATCTCCCTCAACAGATAGTGAGCTCTTGGGCCCGGGTCCTTTCTGAACAGTATGATTCTCCTCTCTGGCTCATGCTCCCTGTCATCTCTAGGATTGTCCGCTTGGTGGGGATCATCAGAGAGTGGGCCAACAAGAATTTCCGTGAGGAAGAACCTCGACCTGACTCATTCCTGGAACGTTTCCGTGGGCCTGAGCTCCAGACCGTGACAACACAGCAAGACGATGGCAAACGCAACAAGGACGGCGAGGGCGAGGGCACCAAGTATAGTTTTCCAGCTTTTGGGACTGGAGGGACTCCCAAGCATGCAATTGTAGGGTTTGGTGACCTTTCTTATGCCATCACCAGGGACAGACTGGGGTCTATACCAAACCCTGCCATGACAGGTAAAGGAGTTGGCAGAGGAGACCTGCTATGGTTTTAACTCCAGTACATTTCCATTTTCCTTGTTCACAAACTTTCCAACTTCCAGGGGCCAATTGCCATGGGAGCCCCTGGTGGCTTTTCTTCCCTTAGCTGCCCTTTTTCATATGTACTCTTGCTGCTAATGAGGCAAATAGCAAGGGCACCTAAATATGTACCAGCCCCTCTCAGTATCAGCAGTCAGTAAATGCAGAGAAGGGTGAAACTGGGGAGTGCTGCTGAGAGTATGACCACACCAGTGCCAATGTAGGTACAGAGGTGGGCCTTTGGAGAGGCCATACTGGGGGCTAACTGGCTAAGGAAGGCCTGGAACAACTGCACAGGAAGGAGTAGGGAGGGCAGAGAGGTGGAACCAGAGGGTCTATTCTTTGAGGAATGAGTAGGCAACTGGGGATGTCTGGCCAAGCCGGCATTCCACAATTCTGGCCAGTGGAGGAAAAGAGCTTTTGCCAAGACAGGACGTAGCTTCTGGGAAAGTGATTTGGGAGCTGGAGGCCAGAGACCAAACAAGGAGAGTGGGGTGGGCAGGAAGCACATGGCACTCACTTGCTTGGAGTTCCTCTTTCTTCCCAGGAGGGATCCCTGAGCCCTCATTACCATCCTGTGGAAGTCCCTCCCTAGGTCCTGAGGCCAACCCCAATAAAGACACTGCCCCTTGCCTTGCCCTCTGAGCAAGGAGTCTCCATAAGTCATTGGAGCCAATGGGCCTATGCGGGTTTAAAATAGGAAGAAGGGTGACTCTTATCTATGTGACCTCTACTCAGATGCCCAGTACCAAGTTGTGGCTTTCTGAAAATGAGGCCCTGAGCCAACTCAGTCCTTACTCTATACATCCTCATAAGTGTTACTTTTTAAGGGACCCCTAGCCTCTGGGAGCTGGGGTGCTGCCACACTGGGGACCTAGTCCCCAAGCCTGGCCTCTGTCTGTCTCCTCAGGAAGAAATTTGAACTATTTGTCTTGGACCCAGCTGGGGAGTGGTACTACCGCTGGCTATTTGTCATTGCTATGCTTGTCCTCTACAATTGGTGCCTGCTGGTGGCCAGGTGAGCAGGGAGGGATCTGGGAGGGAGTGGCCAAAGAAGCCCAGGGCACAGGCTTTGGGTTTGAGAGAATACCAGTCTCAGCTATGGACTCAGAGCTCATTCCAGCTCAGCCTTCTTTCTGAATTTTCTGCTTGCCAATGGCACCTCCCTATGCCCTATTAACCCTCAATGCCCCCTCCCACCTTCCAGTTTAATATGCTACTAAAGCTTCATCTCTATCCTTTTCCTGGTATCCATAATCTGTTCCTACTTCTCCATCCACACCAACACTGTCCTTGGTAAGGCCACACTCCTTTCTCCCTGGGACAAGTACAACAGCCTTGCACCCATTTCTTTCAGTCACTCTTGTCCCCTCTAATGCATCCTTCACACTTGCAACTAGTATGCTTTGTATAAACTGGGATTTGATTGTCAGTCATTCCTCACAAACCCTTCAATTGTCCCTCATTGCTGACAGGATGAAGTTCAAGCCCTCAATGTAGCCTTCAAGGCCCTCTGGACCTGGCCTTCTCACTAGCTCTACCTTCTGGACAAACCCCAGCCCTAGCATTCTCTACTCTTGGATAATAACATGTTCTTGCCTCAAGAGAAAATTCCCTCTCCCTATTTTTAGCCTATGGAGATTCTTCTCACAATTTCAGTTCCAAAGCCACTCTCTACAGGTAGCTTTCCCATTCCACCCCATCCCCCACTTCAGTTATTCATTCAGCAAGGATTTGACTGAACATCCATCAGGTCACGGCTGTCTTGGAGCTCTCAGGCTAGTGGGAGACACTGGCAGCAAATATGAACAAAACAAATGCCCAAGAGACATGAGGTTGGTGAAAGAAACTTTCTGGGAAGGAGGAACAAGTATCAAAACCTTGTCTCAGGATGGCCTAGTGTGGCTGGAGGACTCCAAGTGAGCATGAGGCAGTCACAGGACTATTCTGTAGACTTTGTGCAGCAGAGGAGGGGGTTGGGCTTTTATGTGAAATGCGACCAAGTAGTTAGAATTAACTGCTTTTCCCTTTGACTAATACAATCATTGGGCCATCATCCTGGGTTCTATCTCCTATTATGTCCATATCCTAGGTCTCTACCCATTCAGTCACCAAGTCTTGTTAATTCCTCCTAAAACTGTCCTGCATCCTCCAACCTTTCTTCATTACCACTACCTTTAGGCTAAGCCCAACTACTATCTTCTCTCTGACATGGATTGGCCAGTGCTCTGTATTGGGCTCTCAGTAGGTGTATGTTGAAAAGATGGGCATGGAGGCTATTCAGCTGTGTATTATAGTTCATACTTCCAATGACTCGTTTTTCATTTAACTCACACTTGTCAAATCCTGGTGCTCTGGACTAGAGCATGGGGCATGCAGTAATGACTCAGAGGTAGTCTCTGTCTTCTTGGCATTCATGGTTCAGTGGATGAGATAGACAAGTAATGGTCAGTGTAGATGTTTATTTAGGGATATCTATGCAATAATAAGAGTTGGAGTAAAAGTTGCTTGTCATTAAGTTTCTGCATGACACCAGACTGACTGTGAATCATCAGCATCCTGGTAGCCATCCCAAGACCTGCAGTCAGTGGGCACTCAGTTTGAGGCCTCCAGGGATCCTTGACTGGCTTTGAGGGTGAAGTCCAGTCCTGTCTTCCTACAGAGCCTGCTTCAGTGACCTACAGAAAACCTATTACCTAGTGTGGCTAGTGCTGGACTACTTCTCAGATGTGGTATACATTGCAGACCTCTTCATCCGACTGCGCACAGGTAAGTGAATAACTGTGATGCACAGGCAGGAGCATGACCCATAGGTCCAAAATCCTGAGTCCACATTTTCAGGAAGCTCTCTTGACACAGTGTTAGACTCAACTGCCTGGCTGGGACTCGGGTTGGTGTCTACTCCTCTTTGAATCTTACAGTCCCCATGTGCCTAGTGAGGTTTAGACCTTGGGATCATCTCTTGGGGTCCTTCATGCTAGCTTTGCTATGTGAATTTCCTATACCTCTCTTTAGGAATGAGGGTTGAATGCACAGTTTCTCCCTTGCTGAACATTAACCAATTAGGAAGGACAGGCTTGAGAGCAGAGCTGATATACTGATTTGCATCTCTACTAGGCTTTCTGGAGCAGGGGCTGCTGGTCAAAGATCCAAAGAAGTTGCGGGACAACTATATCCACACCCTACAGTTCAAGCTGGATGTAGCTTCTATCATTCCCACGGATCTGATCTATTTTGCTGTGGGCATCCACAGCCCTGAGCTGCGTTTTAACCGCCTGCTACACTTTGCCCGCATGTTTGAATTCTTTGACCGCACTGAGACACGCACCAGCTACCCCAACATCTTCCGAATCAGCAACTTGGTCCTTTACATCTTGGTCATCATCCACTGGAATGCCTGCATCTACTATGCCATCTCCAAGTCCATTGGCTTTGGAGTTGACACTTGGGTTTATCCCAATATCACTGACCCTGAGTATGGTTACCTGGCTAGGGAATACATCTACTGCCTTTACTGGTCTACACTGACACTCACCACCATTGGGGAGACACCACCTCCTGTAAAGGATGAGGAGTACTTATTTGTCATTTTTGACTTCCTGATTGGTGTCCTCATCTTTGCCACCATCGTGGGGAATGTGGGCTCTATGATCTCCAACATGAATGCCACTCGGGCTGAATTCCAGGCCAAGATTGATGCTGTCAAACATTACATGCAGTTCCGAAAGGTCAGTAAGGAGATGGAAGCCAAGGTCATTAAGTGGTTTGACTACCTGTGGACCAATAAGAAGAGTGTGGATGAGCGGGAAGTTCTCAAGAACTTGCCAGCAAAGCTGAGGGCTGAGATAGCCATCAATGTCCATCTATCCACCCTCAAAAAAGTGCGCATCTTCCAGGATTGTGAGGCTGGCCTGCTGGTGGAGCTGGTATTGAAGCTTCGTCCTCAGGTCTTCAGCCCTGGGGATTATATTTGCCGCAAGGGTGATATTGGCAAGGAGATGTACATAATCAAGGAGGGCAAGTTGGCAGTAGTGGCTGATGATGGTGTTACTCAATATGCCCTGCTCTCAGCCGGGAGTTGCTTTGGAGAGATCAGTATCCTTAACATTAAGGGCAGCAAAATGGGCAATCGACGCACAGCCAATATCCGCAGCCTTGGTTACTCAGATCTCTTTTGCTTATCCAAGGATGATCTTATGGAAGCTGTGACTGAGTACCCTGATGCCAAGATGGTCTTGGAGGAGAGGGGCCGGGAGATCTTGATAAAGGAGGGACTGCTAGATGAGAATGAGGTGGCAGCCAGCATGGAGGTAGACGTGCAGGAGAAACTAGAGCAGCTGGAGACAAACATGGAGACCTTGCACACTCGCTTTGGCCGCCTGCTGGCTGAGTACACGGGAGCCCAGCAGAAACTTAAGCAGCGCATCACCATTCTGGAAACCAAGATGAAGCAGAACAATGAAGATGATTACCATGATTACCTGTCAGATGGGATGAACAGCCCTGAGCCAGCTGCTGTTGATAAGCCATAAGGTCTTGGGCCCAACTGCCTTACCAGCCTTGTCCTTGACCCCAGGAACTAGAAGAGCTGTGTAGGTGTCCATATTTGTATGCATTACCCTCTTGAATTCTCCCCAAAGCCTCTCTGTCCTAGGTTTTTGGCTCAATCATCTAGGAGCCCTCCTCCAGGTCCAGCTAATAGCCAAGCTTATGCACAAAGTAGACCATGTTGGCTCAGTTTCCAGGAGCTTTAGACTGTCCAAGTCTGAGGAAGAAAGAGAGGAGCATATGAACTGTCTTCAAGGGGTCTGTCCTAGGGCTGGAAGCCTGGGCAATGATCTGTTTTGAAGAAGCAAATCTGCAGGACAGTGTGTACCCTAATGTGAAACTGCCCTCTCTCCCGGGTCCTTTGCACATAGCCACTTCCCATTTGGTTCTGGCCCTTGATTTTCTAATATGTGTTGTGAATATCCCCATTTTCCTGCACATGTATGTAGTTCAAGAAATGACTACAGACAGCACAGGTACCCAGTGTCTGTATCCCAAGGCAAGGAAAGGAGGGGGGCAGGTAGAAGAGGGTTCTCTTAGGGGTGCCACTCCATCAGGCACTCCAAGTCCTAGTCTGTCCATCCATTTTAATGTTGCCATCCAGGAGTAAGGTCTCTGCATGCTTCTCTGGACCAGGGAGATGATTATTCTCCTTGTTCCTGGTCCATTCCAAGGCAGGGAGTGAGGAGCAAGGAAATGCCACCTGGAGAAGGAGGTGGGTGGGAGCTCTGGCCATCACCCCTCTATACAGAACATTACTGAAGAGGCCCTGAGGATGGCAGTGTGTGGGAGGCTCTTCAAGTTCATATCTGCAGTAGAGGCGCTTATAAGTTAATAAATTAATTTAAACTAGTGGTTATTGCTCAACTCTGCTATTCACATTCTTTCCTTTTCTCCCCTTTTTTTCCTCTTATCCAGGACTCACCCTGCCTGGAACACTCTCTCTGCTGTCTTCTGCTGTCTATCTAAGCCTGACTTGTCCTTCAGGACTCAGCTCAGGCACCACCTTCTCAGAGAAAGCTCCCACATATGCAGTCAATCATCCCCTCTCTAGGCTCCCACAGCACTTGCTAGTCTGTGTCCTGGCTATTTGCTGTATGGTTGGTTTTCTGGTTTCCCTTCCAGACTGTGGGCTCTTTGAGGGCAGGGCCAAGACACTGTCCTTCACTGCTCTGCCTTCAGCCTTGGGGACATGCCTCGCCCAGGTCAGGCTTTCAGAAAATGTTTAATTACTGGGGCAGTAAGTGAACACACTGAAACTCTTAAGTTTCCATTTGCCAGTATCCAGGTCTTGACAGAAACACTACGTCTGGTGATTCGTGGACGATCTTCTGGAGAAGCAGATATTTGAGTGGGTACCACTTGACCAGGAATCCAAAGGACAAGTGCTAATTAGTGAGCAAGAAGCTCTAGATGCAGATTTAGATGCCTTTGTGCACACCACTTATCTCTATCATCTACCTACCTATCTTTCTGCCTATTTGTCATCTATCTCTCTATGTCTCTATTTCTCTATCTACTAATCACGGTACAATACATATCAAATTTACCATCTTAACTATTTTTAAGTGTACAATTTTATAGTGTTAAGTACATGCACATTGTTGTGAAACAAATTTCCAGAATGTTTCAGCTTCCCAAACTGAAACTTTCTCCTCATTAAACAAAACTTCCCATAGTCTCTCCCTGCTAGCCCTTAGCAACCATCGTTTTAATTTCTGTTTCTATTACTTGATTACTTTAGATACCTCATACAAGGAGAACTATACAGTATCTATCCTTTAGTGACAGGCTTATTTCATTTAGCATAATGTCCTTAAAGTTCATCTATGTTGTAGCATGTGTCAGAATTTCCTTCCTTTTTTAGGCTGAATAATACTCCATTGTATAGATAGAGCAAATTTTGTTTTTCCATTCATCTATCAATGGACACTTGGGTTGTTTCCATCTTTTGGCTACTGTGAATAATGCTGCTATGCACATGAGTACACAAATGTCTGCCCAATTTCTTTTTTTCATTTCTTTTGAGACTATAACCAGAAGTAGAATTGCTGCATCATATAGTAATCCTATTTTTGTAATTTTTTGAGGGCCCATCATACTGTCTCCCATAGAAACTGCACCATTTTACATTCCCAGTAACAGCACACAAGGATTTTAACTTCTTTACATCCTCACGAATACTTGTTTCCTGTTTTTTTTTTTTTTAACAGTAGCCATACTGATGGGTGTGGGGTGGTATCTCATTGTAGTCGTATATTAATTTCCCTTATAAATAGTGATGTTGAGCATCTCTTTATGTGTTTGTTAGCCATTTGTTTATCTTTTTTGGAGAAATGTCTATTTAGTCTTTTGCAAATTTTTCAGTCATGTTGTTTGTTTTTTTAAATGTTGAGTTGTAGGAGTTCTTTATATACTCGTGATGTTAACTGATATCAGATATATGATTTGCAATTCTTCCCCCCATTCCATAGGTTGCTTTTTAACTGTTGATTGTACATTTTTATACACAGAAGTGTTTAATTTTGATGTAGTCCAATTTGCCTGGATGTAGGTGTCATCATTGATTTTCATTGGAATTTGTTCTTCTAGCCAGAATTATTTTACATTTAATGTACTTTCTTGGCCTCTTCCCTACCTTATAGTAACAAATCTTAACCAGGGGCAGACTCACTTGGAGGGATCTATAACCCATCTTACCCATGCTTAGACTTGGTCCTTGAGAGTGGGAGCAGTAGGGAGGTGGCATTCATGATTGAACAGCATTCTGTGTATGCTTCCCCTTTGGGTGCTGAGCTGAAAGAAAAGCTCTAACTAAGCCCCTTCACTTCAAGACAGACTGAGCCCCCAGGAAGTGGAGTCCTTGGGGAGCCAACCAGTTGCTTGCCCAGATGCTTATAGATAAGGCTACATGAAGGAGCTAAGTTTCCCTACATGCTGGAAGCCAGAGTGGTATTAGTTTTGTTGCCCTAGAATGGCACTGGGCCCAGAATAAGGGGGAAGACTGCATTGAAAAACATTTCCTTGGTTATAGTAAGAAATCTGCAGTCTTTCTCCCTAGAATGTGGTTTACCTTCTGTCCAGCCCCCACGGGTGCCTGATTTCACATCATCAACCTGGCAGACATTGAATCTTGGACCTGGTTTTCCCCAGTGCAAAGCAGCTGACTCATGTGGGTCATGTGGGGAACCCACTGTGTTGAGATGCAGGATTCAGGGCTCTGCTCCCACCCTCTCCCCAGACATCTTTGAATTGAATCACCCATGAGCTTTTGTGGTTCCTTGAATGTCTACATTCTCTTAGGCTTCTAGGACTTTTCTCATGCTGTTCCCTTTGCCTGGATCACTCTTTCTTCCTCTGATACTCAGTTCGCAAGCTTACCACAGCCTTCTATGTGAGACTTTCTTGCATACTGGACTGTGCGGGTCTGTTTAGCAATTGGTCTCTTCTCATCTAAACACACTTTGCTCATTGAGAAAAAGATGAAAGAGTGACAGAAAGAATATCCATGCAGCTCAGGGTGTATGTGTGTGTGTGTGTGTGTGCCATGCAGCTCTGGGTGTGTGTGTGTGTGTGTGTGTGTGTGTGTACGTGCACACATGTGTGTGCAAACACACACCTGTGTGAGTATCTGGATGTCAGCTTAGACAGACAGTGTCTGTGTCTGTGCCCCGTCCCAGTCCCCTCCTTGGTTGCTTTCTGCAAAAGCATGACACTTTCCTGGCCATTTCTGGCTACCACCCCCACTTCTCTCCCATACCTGGGTGTAATATAAGAACTGAAGTACATTTTCCATTATGTGTTGTATTTATTCAGCACAGTTTGATGTTCCCTGCTCTTAATTTTAAAATATTTATATTGGAATGTTTTTTATTTTCCTCTAAAAATACCCATTTAAGGTAAATTGTCCTATTTGTATATAGCCACCAATGTGCTTTTCTTTGTATTGGTGACCTTCTGTAGAAAACAAAAGTCCCTGCTCCCACCCATCACTCTCCTTCCCCTCTTGGTCTGACCTTTGGTGGTTTCAGCCTGGCTTGCAGACTGCTGCTCCCAACTCAGCCCAGCCTGAGTCCCAGCCTCAGCAGCACATATCTGTTCCTTAGTCTTGAGCCTAAAGCTAATCTGACCTCTTCCTCCTTCCTTGAAAGGAGGCGGAAGTAGAGGGTCCCCTACTGAGTAGCCTGAAAACAGGAGCTCAGAAGCCCCCAGTGTACAGAGCCAGAAAACCCAGCCACCAGAGGGCGCATGGACCTAAGAAAAGGGTGGTGGGCTCTGCTCAATGGGCCCCCCCCCCCCCCCCCCCATCTAGCAGAGGGCAGACCAGGGCTCACTGAGGCAGTTAGGTATCTACCCTCAGGGCTTCACTGTGCTGTTGGACCAAATCTTCCTCTCTGAATGCCTCACTGCAATCCCTTCAAATGCCCTCAGAGGCTCCTGGGTGTCAAAGCCAATGGCTCAATTCAAGTCTGTGTATGCTAGGTGCCCAGATTCTGCTGAGGGTTGGGTATGAAGGAAATATCAGGGTTGAACTTCAAGGGAATCTGGGAACTATGTTTGTAATTATTGATTTTAACGTGTATTGAGCAAAAAACACCAGTAGGTCTGTAAAACCCTTGATGTTATTGCACCCCAATGTTTATAGCAGCACTATCAACAATAGCTAAAGTATGGAAAGAGCCCAAATGCCCATCAACAGATGAATGGATAAAGAAGATGTGGTACACACACACACACACACACACACACACACACACAATGGAGTATTACTCGGCAATCAAAAAGAATGAAATCTTGCCATTTGCAACTATGTGGATGGAATTGGAGGGTATTATGCTAAGCAAAATTTGTCAGAGAAAGACAAATATTGTATGACTTCACTCATATGAGGAATTTAAGACACAAAACAGATGAACATAAGGGAAGGGAAGCAAAAATAATATAAACAGGGAAGGGGACAAAATATAAAAGACTCTTAAATATAGAGAATAAACTGAGGGTTGCTGGAGGGATCATGAGTATGGGGATGGGCTAAACGGGTAAGGCACATTAAGGAGGATACTTGCTGGGATGAGCATAGCAGATGAATCACTGGAATCTACTCCTGAAATAATTGTTGTACTATATGCTAACTTGGATGTAAATTTAAAAATTAATTAATTAATTAACAAATCCCTTGATGTTATGAATATTATTGCTTAGCATGGAGCTAAAGGAAAAAGTGAGCTGATTTAAGGTTGATTTAAAGAAAATGATTATATGAATAACTGTTCCAATAGCACATGAAGGTAGTGACCAGATAATGGTGAATATCCAAATGCCTACCAGATGCCACTAAGACATTTCAAAATCAACACCATCATAATTTACCTTTTGATTGTTTTTCTCCCAAACCAGCTGCATCCAATCCTCTCCATGTC